GTATGTTGTGGTTAATTCCCTTGTAGAACAGGAGGGTGGTAAATTTCATCATAGTTCATGAAACAATAGTATTAAAAAATGATAGAAATATAATTTTTATTATTTCAAAAAGAAATCTGTAATTTAACCCTTTTTAATTCAAGCCCTCTAGAACTCACGCTCTTTCGAAGTAATTTGTGTTTCATTTGTCTATGTATTATTAACTTATCTCCATTTAAATAATCGTGAATGGCCTTTTCAACAACAATAGCATGGTGAAAACTTTTTCCTTACCTTCTGCGTGAAGGGGGAGAGTCAATGATGATGTGGTTGTTCATAGGGTGGCCGGGGTGTCCGTGGTTTTGATATTCGTACTGGGAGGGGCAGTGGCTGATGTGATGGTAGATGACAATGTGGTGGATGAGGTAACAACTGATGCTGCAGTGGATGATGTGATATTTGTTGATTTCGTGGTTGATGAGATGGTTTTTGTTGATGTCATCGAGGTGGTAATGTGTGTGGTGTTGCTTGTTTTGACCTTTGATGACGTCAAGCATGCTGCTGGTGGTTTGCTGGTTGGACTTGCACCTATAACATAATGAAAGATAGAAGATATCAGAAGAAAGTATTTTTAAAAATATTTATTTTTAACCTTGGTTGATTCTAGTTCTTTGTCTTCAAGTCCTAATTCATTTACAAGTTTCTCTTTTGTTTTTGGGTATGGTAATATATCCTAATAAAGTTGTAACAAAGAAGAAATGAAATTTATCAGAGATAAAAAAATTAACTACACTACATCATGTCTATGTTATATACATGTATGTTGTTAGTTAATTCCCTTGTAGAACAGAGAAGGTGGTAAATTTCATCATAGTTCATGAAATAATAGTATTAAAAAAAATAGAAATATAATTTTTATTATTTCAAAAAGAGATCTGTAGGCTTAAAACAAAGGATAGAGGGCAATTGTGGTATTGACAAGAGTGTTTGTGGAAAATAAATCTTTCCTGTCATTGCCTCTTGTTCATGTAATAATTGCAATTTTCATTTACAGGTTTGTCGATGGTACAAGAAGTGATCTGTATTATTGTGAACTTAATATCCAGACACGTTTTGGTAGTTACACTTCATTTCCATGTACCCTGATAAATATATTGAATTGCTTACCCTCAACTGCCCTGGAGAGGTCCTCTTCT